TCCAACTTTTAAATGATATCTTATGTATATAGTTATATTTGAGTCAACAAACTCCAAGTATGTGTAATATTCTTAAAATATCTGTCAACTTGTATTTTCTCCTGTGGAGGAAGGAATACTATTGGTGCTTCATGTTTCCATCACCCTGAAACAACGTTTCTCACTCTGAAACAGGGTTTCCCAGTGGCCTTATTCCCTCTGATGATAAGCTTGCCTGCTATAGAAATAAATCTTGTATGTCACAGAAGGTATAAAGAGGAGAAATCTTTTTGGTGCCACCACCCATGTTCTCTTCCAGAATTTGGCTTTACTTTTTTGCCATAGGAGGCACTGGACGATTTCTGCACCTCTGTGGAAAGTAGACTCCCTTGTAAGCCGGTGATCCTACAGGAAAGGAGAGCCCCGTAACCAGACAGGAAGTTGAGTCCATGTAACACAGCATTTTCTACTCTTTTTTTCCACAAAATGTTGCCCCTCTGCGTATGACAGCCTAACCTCAGCTCACAGGCCAGAGAGTTGGAAGAAACCATCAAGGAGAGTATCATCTGCCTTAACATCGGGTGCTATTGCCGTCCCAAGAGTCCTGCCGGAACTCACACTACACATTCTTTATGTAAGGGCAAACCCCTAAATACCACAGCAACTCAGAACAGACTCAAGCAAGGAGAACCTATCATGAGGTTCCAGTGTGCTGGACTATGAAAGACTAGTCACAGGGTTGTCTATACTAAAAATCTCCTTACTGATCTCTCAGTTCCTGTTTCCATGGTGATTTTACACACACTACAGACCTTCCTCCTTTCATACAGCAAGACATAGATTAACAAAGCAGAACCATTTTAATAATTTCAGGTTCATTAGAGAGGCCTTAGACTCTTTTACTAAGCATATCTTCATACACACTCTGTATATTTGGGGATGTACATTATAAAAAAGATAAAATATCTCACTTTGTATTCCATCTTTTACCATGAGCTTAATGAGGTGGATGATATACCAGATTTTCGTAGCCCTACAGTGTTATTGTCCCTTACCCACTAGTATTTTTTATAGATGCACCATAACACTTTTTCTAATTATATATTTTTAAATATTAGAGCACTCAAATGAAATGTAATAGACAAGAAGGCCCATGATTCCAATAATTTTGCAGTCTTTGGCACAAATGGAAATTTCATTCTACCTTGAAGCTTGTTCAATTTCTCTGTCTTTAGATATACATTTTCTTCGAAGATGCTAATTTGATGTTTGAAAGTTCCCCATAGTATATTTCTGGTGTCCCAGAAAACATGTTTGTGATTTTTTTTTTTTCTTAAGCAACACATGTTGTTCAGTACACTGATTAAAGAAGTAACATTCACATGCTGTTTGCCATTTTTACTTATAAAAATGTCTCTTGATTTCTTATTCTGATTGTGCTAAATTGTAATATGCCAACTATTTAATTATAGGTTACAGCATTCATCATGAAATGGTTAACTGCATACGATATGCCTCTGTGTTTCTCTAGTGAATTTGACTAACATCTTTCATTCCACATAGCAGAGGTTTTTAAAATTCATTCATCTTAAAGTAAGATTGTTTAAATAATACATAATTGGTAAATGTGAACCCTACCATACTACAGTGAGAAATACTTTATCCAGTAAAATTAGAAGATGTGTTTTCTGTTTACCTGAGATATGATGTCTGTGCATACATAGGTTTGTGCATGTATATAGATAATTTGTGGATTACAAGTTTTCAAAGAAACAAAATAGTAACACTATTTTGAAAACCATTTACATTTCTTTTCATAAATCAGAATAGATTTCAGGATACTTTGATCTCTGCAGCTATTCTTCATTATTGTTGGGCTCTGCTAAGGAAACAGAAAAATAACTGGATGGCCGAGCACAGTGGCTCATGCCTGTAATCCCAGCACTTTGAGAGGCCAAGATGGGCAGATCACTTAGGGTCAGGAGTTTGAGACCAGCATGGCCGACATAGTGAAACCCCGTCTTTACTAAAAATACAGAAATTAGCTGGGCATGGTAGAACACACCCGTAATCCCAGCTACTCAAGAGGCTGAGGCATGAGAATCACTTGAGCCCAGAGGTTACAGTGAGCCAAGATCGTGCCACTGCATTCCAGCCTGTGTGACAGAGACTCCGTCTCAAAAAAAAAAAAAAAAAAGAAAAAGAAAAAATAACTGAAGACCTTATTTATAGTATAGAAGTTGATTGCTTTATAGTTCATATTAAATAAATCTTTTATTAACTCTTATATTTACTTAAAGATAGGTCACAAAACCTAAGTCCTGTCCTTTAAACCCAGTTCCTTAGATTTTCAAATTGGATTCTGGGCACCTGAGAATTTTGTATTTTAGTGTTCTAGTTAGCATCTCAGTGTCCTTTTCTATATTCTTTTTTCTAGGGTGGTGCATTAAAAAATATATGAAACAGAGTCAGGTCATAATATTTAAAAGCAATATGGCTCTTATATTACTTTTGGAATAATTTTGTATTGTTTAAGATACTAATTTCATGAAGTTTTATTAGGGCAACCAGTATGGAATCACATATCTCATGATTCGTGCTTTCTCTGAGGTTATTTATTTTAAATAGCTTCTCATAAGGAAGAGTTTAAATGAGCAAGATTGTTACATGGTTTCTGAGAATATGTTTCATTGAGTGGAAAGACACAATTGCTGAGCTACAGTTTTTAGGGTATATGTTCCTCTTTTTCGTTTTTTTGTTTTTTTTTTAAGCTCTGAATAGCTTTCTTTAAAAAGTAGGTGGGCAGCTTACATAAAATTTTAATGGTTTTGGTTTCCATGGTGAAAAATGTTGAGACCCTGACACTACATGCTACCTAGTGTTTCTAAACCAAAAGCTTTAAAATATTAGTGTCGCAGATTTTACCTTACATTTAACTAACGCTGAGAACTATCTGAACATCTTTTTTTTCCAAGACAGTATATTTTTCCATGTATGTGAAGCCTTGAGGCTACCACAGTGGTACTTTTTATCTGTAGTTTGTTGCTAGTTCATATTTGCTTTCCCAGGGTTCCATTCCTGATGGAACAAAGGTTGATTGCTGCATAGCTCTGATTTCAGGCCAGCACCTGTGCAGCTATTCCCAGCTATTCCAATTCCTTAGCATTTTACTTAATCCTTAGCAAAACTCCTTTGAGAATTACTGTATAAGAATGTTTAGAACTCTGGAAACTCATGATAGAAGCTGTACAAATGAAGCAGAGCACTTTATGGTATTGTCAGCCTGACAGTGACTCAGCTCATGTTTCAACGTGTACCAGGGAAACCATATATAATCTTTAATCTTTGCTGAAATTCCAAACTTAAGCAATCAGAACTGTCACAGAATTCTACCACATAGAAGCATTCTGTCAAATAATATAGCAGGAGGCAGGTCGTTAAAAACCTATACTAAGAATGTCAGCTAATCTTTCCAGAGGCTAGGAAACAAAATCTTGAATTGAATCTGACATCAAGTTAAAGGTTTATAATGCACTGGGATTTCCCACTTCTCCCTTAAACCTTGTATTCACCTTCTAAAGCAGCTTAATCAACAGTCCCTAAAAATTTTACTTTGCTTTATATAGCCAAACTTCATTGAACACAGTAAGGTAAAGCCACAGTGCAATGCCAGGCATGAGTCAGCACTCAGTAAAAGGAAGCTGCTGCTGTTACTAGGAGTTTGCTTGTTCAACAAATATTTACTGAGCACCTACTGAGTACTCTGCACCATCCTAGACACTGAGGATATAACAAACCAGATAAAAGTCTGTCTGCCCTTGTGCAGCTTATATTCTAGTGGGGAGAGATGGTGATAAGTGCGATACAGAAAGGAAAAGCTGGCCTCCTGTGGTAAATGGATGCTACTTAGATGTTACTTCCTTTAGGAAAATTTTCCTAAGCTCCATTCCCCCAGACACACACACACACACACACACACCCCCATATCTTCTCTCATAACTGCATAGGGCCTGGTGTGTAGTAGTCCCAGAGGGAGAAAGGGAGGGAGGAAAGGAGGTAGACATTTAAATCTTTAGGATTGTATGTTAAACTCCAAATGTGATAAGAATTAAATTAAATTAATTAAAATCTTTGAAGTGAGAGTGAAGCAGCATTTCTGAAAAAAAGTTTGTTAATATAAGGGTTAAATGCGAGGAAGAAATGGCTTGTATTGAAGTCCATTGGAAAATAGGAAAATATATTTTGAAGATATTAGAGAAAGAAGGACATATGGGAATTAAACTGGGAAGAGGCAGCATGATCTATACCACCTAAGTTTACAGCATAAAAAACAGAAGTTTGAATGGGGTTTGTTTTTTTCAAGTTCAAGATGGCAAATGGTACTGTTAAATTAAAGGAGATAATGGAAGAGATGGGTTTGGCTGGAAGAAACAATGATTAGGTTAGACTTGCCCATATTCCTTTAAAAAAGACTAAAGGAATAAAATAAGCAGATGAACAAGAAAGTTTTCATTGCTTGGCAATTCTAAAACTTTGTATAGAGTTCCTTTGACTGTAGGTGACATGAAATATAACATAAAATGTGCTCTACCTTCAGAGGCTTCATCACCAAGCTCAATAATATGAATGTTGTGTAATTTTTCATTTTTAATTGTTCATAAGATGGAGGACCCTTCTTAAAATACTTGGTCTCCATTCTCAGTCTTTTAATCCCTTGGAGGAAGGTGTCTGAGATGTCAGTTTTCCAAGGGGAACAGGATCAGTTTTCAGATTTTGACTTAATATTGAGACTTATAATCATAACAAACAACATTTATGAAATTCAGCAAAATATATTAATGAAGTATAAGTTTATGGAACACATTCATATAGTTAACAGTCAAATGTGCTGTGTAATCTGAAAATACAGCCTTGTATTAGCATACAGATTCTAAGATGCTATTGACAAATATTTGAACCTTTTTTAGCAAGCTTTTATGTAATATTACTATGTTTAGCTGTTTAAACTTTTCTTCTTACAGATGTGCCAAATACTGGTGTAAGCAAACCTAAAGTTTCTGACGCTGTCCATCCCAACAACTATCTCATCAGGACAGAGCCAGAACAAGGAACCCTCTATTCACCAGAACAGACATCTCTTCATGAAAGTGAGGGTCTGTTGTGTTATCTTTTAAGTATTGGATTTGCTTTTAAGATTTTATTCTTGAAAGCGAGTGTCAGAAGTGTGTATAATAAAGATATTTCTTGGTTTCATTCTCACAGGATCATTGGGTAACTCAAGAAGTTCAACACAAATGAATTCTTATTCTGACAGTGGATACCAGGAAGCAGGGAGTTTCCACAACAGCCAGAACGTGAGCAAGGCAGACAACAGACAGCAGCATTCATTCATAGGATCAACTAACAACCATGTGGTGAGGAATTCAAGAGCTGAAGGACAAACACTGGTTCAGGTAAGCTGAACACATCAAGATCTCTGCAAAGAAATACCCTGCGGCCGGGCGCAGTGGCTCACGCCTGTAATCCCTGCATTTTGGGAGGCCGAGGCGGGTGGATCACCTGAGGTCAGGAGTTCAAGACCAGTCTGACCAACATGGTGAAACCCCATCTCTACTAAAAATACAAAAATGAGCCGGGCGTGGTGGCGGGCGCCTGTAATCTCAGCTATTTGGGAGGCTGAGGCAGGAGAATCACTTGAGCCCGGGAGGCGGAGGTTGCAGTGAGCCGAGATCGCACCACTGCACTCCAGCCTGGGCGACAGAGCGAGACTCCGTCTCAAAACCAAAAAGAAAAAAAGAAAAAAAAAGAAATACCCTCCTAGTTGAAGATCTGTTATAGGTATTTCTTATTAGAAATCAATATGTATAATTTTTGTAGAATGGATAAAATAGTAAAATCATTTTATTGTATTTGAGATACAATGTTAAATGTATTTGTTTCTATGAGTTAGCTCCCACTGATGAATTCTGATTAGTTCCTGGACACAGTAGAGTAATTCTTCTGGAAACAACAAGTTTGGCATGAGGAGAAGAGTCTAAGGGGAATGTAAGAGGGTTGGATGGAATGTTTTGGTCCCTGAGTGGTTATGAGTTCCTAAAAATATGGGGGCTAAAATATGCTCTAAAAAGCTCCAAAGGGCAGGGTGCTATTCCCACACCTACATAAAATGGGATTTGCCCATTCTAACCAAAGACTGTTACCATCATCACTGGAATTATTCTCTAAAAGTACATTTCTTTTCTTTTACTAGAATAGAGATATTCCTGCTTAAAGAAAGGTATTGTATAGAAACATATCCATTCTGTTAAGTGAGGGTTCTCTAACTTGATAGCAAAAAATATATATTGCATGTGTATTTCTAAAAACTCTTTAGCTCCTTTCTCTTTACCACTGTATTCACATCAGTCCACCAACATGTCCCAGGATTCAGAGAGGCAATAGGAGTCCTGCATGGTGGTAACCAGTGAGGATAACTATCTGTGCCAGTACCCCAAAATCCCCAGTGCTTGCTTTGGAGCTGAAAAGTAGCAAGATAATCAAATAAGTTAGGAGGACACTGTGCTGCTTCTACTGCAATACAGGAAGCTCTACAGGTACACAGCAGTGGGTCACAGTTCCCAGTGCCCACAGAGATACATAATACAACTTTGTCACTTTTGCTGAGCAATTCAGGAGAAATTTCAAAGTCATTTAAAACATGTTTGTATTAAACACAAATATAGCACATGAATTTTTCAAGCTAAAATGGGAAATCTTGTGCATGTGGCTAGCGACTGCAGGCTGCACCCCCGGTCCTCAGATTATACATTTACTCCTTTGCTGTTGGGGATGCTTTGGTGGAAAAATTTGAGAAGCTCTGGACTAAATGCTAATGGGAGTTCATCTGCTTAGGTGAATTTCTATGTCAGCGGGTCTGAAATCACACTTTTCAAAAGTAGTGTATCTATATAAATTTTATTGCCCTTAGTAGTGGTCATGTAAACACTCCTTTCTTTAAGAGTAAGTTGATTTTCTCACTAGAGCTAAAGAATTGTTTGCAAGGGGGCATCTGAGACTTAATTTGCATGTAGTCTAGGCAACACATTTCCTAGTTGTCTGGACCAACTATCACTTCATTTTGGTAGTTGCAAGTCATGTGGGATTCTCTTTGCATTTTGTTAGCACTATTACCACCCAATCATGCTTTTTTTTTTTCTTAATTGATAGAGACAAGGTCTCACTCTGTCACCCAGGCTGGAGTGCAATATGGCACAATCATAGCTCACTATAGTCTCAATTCCCTGGGCTCAAGCAGTCTTTCTGACTCAGCCTCCTGGAGTAGCTAAGACTGCAGGAACATGCCACCATGCCCAGCTAATTTGTTTGTTTTTTGTAGAGGCTGGGCCTCACTATGTTGCCCTGGCTGGTGTTGAACTCCTGGCCTCAAGCAATCCTCCCTCCTCAGTCTCCCAATGTGTTGGGATTACAGGGGTCAGCCACCACACCCAACCCCAATCATGCTTGTTAACTTTCTAGCTATCTACTGATTTTTAAACCCCATCTTCTTTGCCTTGTTGTTTGTTTACCATCCTCTTTCCTCCCCATGTCTTCTCCACTGCTTATTGCCTTCCCAAAATTGTTGAACTTGAGCACACGGTGAGGTCTTACTGCAAGTGTTTCAGCCAGCCCAGTTGCATTCGACGCCTGGAGGCAGAGCAGACATCCTCGTATGACCTCTAAGGGTATACAAGCCCTCATCTGATCCCCACTTCTTTCCTTACTTCCCGAACTAAAAGTGGTTGTGGGTTGTCATCCTAAAAGTGATGACAACTAGACTCTAGCAATCACTACGGAGGTAACAGAGCAGCCTGGTCCTGAGCTTCTAACCTGGAGCCCTAATGTCTGTTTTTATTTCTCAGTTGGCTCTCCTTTTTCCCATACCTGTTCCCCTTGGGCCCCTTCTCCAGCCCAACCATTCCTTTTTATTGTTGCACAGCATCAAAAACAGTGTCCAGCACCTGCTGTAACTGCAGGAATCAACAGATTCATAGTAGGATCAGCCATGGCAGAAATGTTCATTTTCCAACCTAGTCTTTTCCAGCTGGCTAGGCCAAGAACCCAACAGAGGCTTTGACCATTCCTCCTGCTGGAATAGATTTGGGGGTGCCTTTTTTTTTTCACATCTCTTTAAATCCACCAACTAAAGCTAAGAACTCATAGATTGGAAGAGGTAAAAAGAAATGGCTAAAGTGAGGAGAAGCTATGCTTGATCTAAAGGAATCAACAAATTTGCCTAGAGCACCTGTGTAGCCAAGCTGTTCCCCGAAGTAAATTCACAGTGGAGAGCGCCAGACCCACACTTGATCCAAATGTTCATTTATTCCACAATGAAAGAACATGTTCCTTTTGTTAATGGGACCAACCCATAAAGAAAAACAATGATAAATATTCCACTAGCTACATTTAGACTGATATATTCAAATTATATTCAGATTTTTGTTTTACATAAATGTATTGCCTTGGCCAAACTTTGCCTCACAGGGAGTGAAGTAAGTACATTGTTCCGGTGCCCCTTCACGCTCATGAATTACTTGTAACACTTAGAATAAAACATTTTATGTGCTGTGAACAATGCATGGGCAATAGTTAAAAATGTAAAGATAAAAAGGAGTATTAAATGTCTTCAGATCTCTTTTTACGGGTTAATTTTAGCATTTGGTTTAAACCACCAAAAAAAAAAAAAAGTAAAACAACTGAAGCACCATGAGGAAAAATTAATGTCTGGCTCAAAGCGTAAAAAGGAAAAGAAACTTAGACGCCTAAAATAAATAGTGGATTCACGTTCTGTAGTGAGCTATGTGTATTTCTTTTGTAATGGCAATGAACACAAAACCCTGGATAAACCCATTCTCTTTTTTCCCCCCTTTCATCAGCCATCAGTAGCCAATCGGGCCATGAGAAGAGTTAGTTCAGTTCCATCTAGAGCACAGTCTCCTTCTTATGTTATCAGCACAGGCGTGTCTCCTTCAAGGGGGTCACTGAGAACTTCTCTGGGTAGTGGATTTGGCTCTCCGTCAGTGACCGACCCCCGACCTCTGAACCCCAGTGCATATTCCTCCACCACATTACCTGCTGTGCGGGCAGCCTCTCCGTACTCACAGAGACCCGCCTCCCCAACAGCTATACGGCGGATTGGGTCAGTCACCTCCCGGCAGACCTCCAATCCCAACGGACCAACCCCTCAATACCAAACCACCGCCAGAGTGGGGTCCCCACTGACCCTGACGGATGCACAGACTCGAGTAGCTTCCCCATCCCAAGGCCAGGTGGGGTCGTCGTCCCCCAAACGCTCAGGGATGACCGCCGTACCACAGCATCTGGGACCTTCACTGCAAAGGACTGTTCATGACATGGAGCAATTCGGACAGCAGCAGTATGACATTTATGAGAGGATGGTTCCACCCAGGCCAGACAGCCTGACAGGTGCGTACAAGGTGACAGTGCTACATAAAACCCAGTGAGGAAATCTTCTGTGTAACTAAAGCTGAAACAAAGAATGAAAAGGTGGAAAGGGCTCATTCATGTTTTTAATCTCAGAATTTAAACTATGAACTTAAGGTTAACTTGTCTTTCAGGCTCTGTAATTCTTAATACATGAAATTATATACATTTATATCAATAGAATCATTTTACAATGGATACAACTCTTTTGTAATATTTCCCCCTCAAAATATTAGGGTTTAAAATGTACATTTTTTTGCATTTCAAAAGTATTAGTTGGAATTCTAAGCAGTTGACTAACTTTTTTTTAATGAAATATTTTTTACCAGCCAGGCCTACCCCTAAACATACCCTAGAGTTATGTTAAAAGGTGGTATCAGAATATCTGTTTAAATATTTAAATTTTTTCTTTAGAAATACTTCGGTAGTATAGACTAGAATATGAATTTTATCGCCTACTTGACTTTGGCCTTTTAATGGAAAGTGCACAAAGCACTTATAAATTACCTTTACATGCCACTCCTATTAAAGCAGTAAGACACCGGATCCCTAATACAGCTGTTCCAACTTCAGGGTTTTTCATGGAGGGTTTCCCACATGATGTAAAGATTTGGTTATTTTAAATAAAATGCAATTTAACTGTAGTGTTTTAAATTATATTTTAAAAGTAACATATACCGAATGGTAAAAATTAAAACTATACCGGAAAATACTGAAATGAGTGAAAGCCTTTTACCCTCACCCAGTCCCATCACAGTTGATGTGACTTTCAGAATGTTTCTTTGCATTTACAGATACACACAATCCATGCAAATCTGCACACACATTGTGTTTTCTACTGATGGAATTCTGTCATATAGATCTCCTATACTTTGTTCTTTTCACTTACTGTGTCTTAAGAGCTCTACTTCATTCTTAATAGATGCATGGGACTCATTTTTTATAGATAATATCAATTTATTTGTCCTTTTCCTACTAATGGACATTTAGGTTGTTTGTTATGTTTAGCTATTAGAGATGATATAGTATAGTATACATTGTTCTACCTGCATATTTCACATAAGTACTAGGGTAACTGGGATCCAGTAGAATTGCTGCATCAAAATATGTGTGTATTTTTACTTTGAGAGATATTACTTAGAATTGCCTTCTAAGAAGGTTACACATGGATTTATGTTTCTGCCAGTAGTTTGAGTGCCTGTTTCTCTATACCTTGTCTACACTGCACTAGTGCTGCATATTCCAAGTTTTTCATATTTGCCAATCTGATAGGTAAAAAGCTGTACCTCATTTTTTTAAAGGGCTTTTATTGAGTTATGACTGAGGTTGAAGATTTCATATGTTCATCAACAGCTTTATTTTGTTTTGTTAAACTATAAGTTCAAGTCTTTTGTCTATTTTTATAATTTGTGAAAGCTTTTTTTTGCTAGAGATAAGTTAGCACCTCATAATATGCTTCTCAAGTATTTTTTCCATTTTGTCACTTGTCTTTTTATTTCATTTTAGTTTTAATATACAAAACTGTTTAACATTTTTACATAGTAAAATTAGTATCTTTTTATGGCTTCTAGGAAAGTTTAAGCCTTTTGAGATTTTTCTGATTGAATAATTTTGCCTGGAGAATTTATATTGAACTTAATTTTTGAGCTCAGAGAAATTCTTAGTGGAGAAACCACCTCTTATTCATTCATCCATCCAAGAAGTATGTTTGGCTTAGATATTTTTTGCAATGCCTCTGAAAAGTATGCAGCAAAATGATGTAGGAATCATTTATGAAATTCTACCTCCCAAGGAAATCTTAGAAAATAAATAGTTCTGAGGACTTCCATATTCTCCCTGGGTGTATAGAACAGCTATGCAGAAATCCCTGCTTGTAAGAGAGTAAAGAGAAGACTGGAGGAAGGAAGCCAGCATATAAATTATTGTCTCCATGTTTAACCCTAAGAGGGCTCATTTCCTCTGGTTTAAACAGTCCGTTTCTCTGACAGTGCAGGTAAAATTAGACTTTATGTTTTGGGGGAGAAATATATATAATGTCTATTTTTTAGGCCTAGACTCTCAGTGATTTTTTTCTAGAAATACTGCAGTATTCTCAAGAAGCAAAGTGTTCTTAATTTTAAAGGATTAATAGCCTGCTAATTGATAAGCCTAAAGCAATGTTTTGTACTAAATTGAGGGACTTGGGTATTTGGTGATCATAATTTAAATGATGATACAAACTTACTTTCTACTACAGACATATATATATATACTCTAATATGCTCATTTCAGAATAATCATAGCATGTCAAGAAAACTTTAGAGGAGATAAAGAATCGATCTTTGAAAGATAAATTTATGTTTATTTCTAATGCCATAAATATAAAGATTTTGAACCACATGGAATCACTATAATACTAGCTAAACTAATATGTTTGTGGAATTGCAAATAGAAGGTATTGGTTGGATAAATAATGCAGTGGCGTATCAGTGTTTTCCATTATTTGGAAGGGGAAGTAGTGTTATTAAAAATTAATCTGTGGGAATACCTATGAAATTTATTTATTTTTGGAGGCAGAGTCTCACTCTGTCACCAGGCTGGAGTACAGTGGCTCGCTCTCGGCTCACTGCAACTTCCACTTCCCGGGTCAAGTGATTCTCCTGCCTCATCCTCCCGAGTAGCTGGGGCTAAAGGCACACGCCACCACACCCACCTAATTTTTGTATTTTTAGTGGAGACGGGGTTTCACCATGTTGGCCAGGATGGTCCCAATCTCTTGACCTCGTGATCTGCCTGCCTCGGCCTCCCAAAATGCTGGGATTATAGACGTGAGCCACCACACCCAGCCCTGAAAAAATTATTTCTAATACCAATTATAGAACATAATTATTTGAATTCCAGTTTCCATAATAGTAAGTTATAGTGAGCTCTCTACACATACTCATTTTACTTAATCTACAGAGGCTATTTACTGTAATTTTTTAAAATGCTAATCTATAGGACTGTGTACATGTGTTTTTAAACACATGAGTGGGTAAACAAAAATAGTAGTAGACATTATTGTGTTATTCAGAAGGATTCTTAATATCAAGAAAGTGCTACATCCCACTAAAGTTCTAAGTCTTTTATTTCCCATTATAGTCTATCACATAATAGTCATTCCAATTTACTAATGATCCTATAGTGAGTGAACATCTGCCAGTTACTTTTTATATTTCTAAATGCAAAGAGCTCATTTTGTTACCTTTCTCATGAAATCATAGTCAGTGTTTACAAAACCTTTCAGATTGCATGGATTCCAGTGAAGAATCCAGCCAGATACTTAGAGAATGAGAATATAACATTGTAATGGTGATGCAGAATGCTTTGTCTTATTTCACATCCCAGTGCAGTGGTGGGAGCACAAGGACTCAACCAATGTCAGAAGCATCCAGTCCCCAGCTTGGCTCTGTCCAAGTGTCAGTGATCCTCAGTGTCTTGCACTGAGTCGTGAGTGTCTGTGGCTCTGCTGGGTGTTACAACAGCACCTCATAATGATAAGGTTATTGAGGACTAGGTACATTCACCTTTCTGCTTTATGTCACTGTTAGCAAAAACTGTGCATTTTTGTCTAAGGTATTCATGGGCTCCATAAAGAAATAGAGCTTAGCCCCTAGACTGTGCTAAAAATAAGAAGAAGAAGAAGAAGAAGAAGAAGAAAAAGAAGAAGAAGAAATTGGCCAGTGACTAAAAAGCTGAAATCCTCAAAATAGCAATCATAGTGTCATCTTTGAAGTTGGTTTCCATGGCCCCCTTCTTGGTGGGCTTACCTTCCTCTTTAACCTGGTGTTTGTGGAAGGCTCTGTGGAGTTCAGACTTTTCCTCACCACATGCCATTGCTCCATGAGGGATAGCTGTGTCCAGTATTGGATGTATAATGACAGAGCACTGACGTGAGCTTTCCTCCCAGCTCGGCAGGGAAGTAGCTCTCCAGTGGGGATGAATCACATTTCCTTTGGGACTCTGTTTCCTCGGTTTTGAAATGAGGTTTGGGTGGATAATTTCCCAGTTATAAGATTGTATAAACCTGTGGTCTTCATTATAGCAAGAGGGGAACCAGTAGCTAAAACCCACATTGATTCATTTAGTTTCTTTCCGTGTCACATTGCTGTCCAGGGTAGGTAATAATCATTCAGTTTAGAAGCTGTATGCATGCATTAACTTTCTTGCCTCTCCTCACTAAGCAACATATAATTAGCACTCATATTCAGGCCCATTTGCTTTTAGTTGTGATTTGATTAACTGAACTAACAGGATGGGAACAATCTTTTTTTTTTTTCTTTTTTTTTTTTTTTTGAGACGGAGTCTCACGTCTCACTCTGTCACCCAGGCTGTAGTGCAGTGGCACGATCTTGGCTCACTGCAACCTCCCCCTCCCAGGTTCAAGCAATTTTCTGCCTTGGCCCCCCGCAGGTTCAAGCAATTCTCTGCCCAACCTCAGCTGGGATTACAGGTGCCTGCCACCATGCCTGGCTAATTTTTGTATTTTTAGTAGAGTCGGGGTTTCGCCACCTTGGCCAGGCTTGTCTTGAACTCCTGACCTCGAGATCTACCCGCCTCTGCCTCCCAAAGTGCTGGAATTACAGGCATGAGCCACCGTGCCCGGCCAGTCTTACCTTTTTATAATTACTTACTTTGTTAATGCTTTGCCATTTTTTAAAAAGCAAATATATGCTGACTGGCTTCAGATATGTTTGTGCTTTCTCTTATGTTTGGGATATACCCTTAATTGATATTTTTACAAGTGACAGACTCTACTTACTAATAATGCAAGTCACTTCTGAGCATCATAATATAGAAAATATTCATTCAGTCTTTTTAAGAAAATGAAATGTTTGGGTTTGAAGTATACCTTTTTATCATGAGTCCCATGTGTAAACATTAGTTATTAGCAGTTTGAATCAAAATATTTAAAATGATTTAATGTTCATGTACTACTAACTTTGTGTTTTTTCTTTATACTAGAAAGAAGGTAAACAAGAATCTGGTATGTGAGTTCTTATAAAAACAACAGTTTTTTGGGTTTGTTTTTTTTTTAAAGAAAGGAAAAACATAATGATAAATAGTATTTTATAATAATATTAGTTCACTGATAATATTACAAAACTTATAGCACAAAATTTCCAGTGTTTTTCTGTAAAAATTATATGTGAGTTAACAGACATTTCAAAACAGCTTTTAAACATCAGCCTTTACCAAGTACATAATGTAGGCATTCTGTTAGATGTTGGGATTCAAAGAGGTGTGAGATGGTGGGCCTTGCACCCAGAGAGAAGCTGATTGTCCACTAAATGAGACTGGCGGGTCCGCAGGGTAGGAAGAGAGCAGCATGAACCACTGCTCGTATAAAGCTTTTAAAGTGAAAATGATATAATAATAGGTCATTCTCTATTTGATCACCATCATAAAATAGCTTACTGGAGGATGAATCTCAGTGTATCAAATCATTTAATTTTTTGTTATTTTTCTTACAAAATCTACTTTCATCTTGCTGCCAAGAGAAAGTGTTTTGTTTGTTTGTTTGTTTTTGAGACGGAGACTCGCTCTGTCGCCCAGGCTGGAGTGCAGTGATGGATCTCGGCTCACTGCAAGCTCCGCCTCCCAGGTTCACGCCATTCTCCTGCCTCAGCCTCCCGAGTAGCTGGGGCTATAGGTGCCCGCTACCATGCCCGGCTAATTTTTTTTTTTTTTTTTTGGTATTTTTAATAGAGATGGGTTTTCACCATGTTAGCCAAGATGGTCTCGATCTCCTGACCTTGTGATCCACCCTCCTCAGCCTCCCAAAGTGCTGGGATTACAGGCATGAGCCACCGCGCCCAGCTGAGAAAGTTGTATTTAAAATACATATATGGAGTCCTTTTCACATGTGTCATTTCTCTTTGGTAAAACTTACTAGTTTTAGTGTTTAGACTTAACACTTGGTCCTATTGGTTAGGATTTTCTTAGTATATATCTACGTATGTATGTATGTATTTATTTATTTTGAGACAGGGCCTCACCTGGTCACCCAGGCTGGAGTGCGGTGGTGTGATCATGGCTCACTGCAACTTCGACATTCTGGGTTCAAGCAGTCTTCCAGCCTCAGCCTCCTGAGTAGCTGGGATCACAGACATACACCACCATACCCAACTAGTTTTTTAAAAAAATATTTTTTGTAGAGATGGGGTCTCACTCTGTTGCCCAGACTTGTCTCAAATTCCGGGGCTCAAGCCATTCTCCCACCTCTGCCTCCCAAAGTGCTGGGATTACAGGAGTTAGGATTTTAATTAGAGTTTATGTTTTTAACCTCACTGTGATTGTCTCAGTTCTTAATGATGTAATTTTTGTGCCTCTAGGCTTACGGAGTTCCTATGCTAGTCAGCACAGTCAGCTTGGGCAAGACCTTCGTTCTGCCGTGTCTCCCGATTTGCACATTACTCCTATATATGAGGGGAGGACCTATTACAGCCCAGTGTATCGCAGCCCAAACCATGGAACTGTGGAGCTCCAGGGATCGCAGACGGCGTTGTATCGCACAGGTTCAGGTGGGCATCAGCTCTGTTTACTGGTTTCCTGATTTCACAGGCCCCACAGTAGAAGCGTTTCATTGAGATTGGGTTCCCTGTTAGAAGGAAATCATGATGTCCATTTGGTTGTCAGATAATCAGCTGTGACAGCAGATCAATAAGCAATAAAACAGGTTCATTGAGTACCTATTTGTAGGTGATATATTTTTACCTTAGTACAATATAATCAATGAACATAGTGATTATACTGTTAGTTCAGGAATAAGTTTGTAAAACTGTAAATCTGAGTCCAGGTTGGACACATATTCAGTATCAAAAGGAAAGCCTTGTTGGAATATTTCTTTGTAATTCTTTTGCTGAGCAAGTTTTTGGAGAAAATCCATAACTGAGTTACTTGGCCGTCTTTGATTTAGCAAGCGTGAAGCCCAAGTGTATTTGGCATTACTCCTTTTTAAATGTTGGATGTTCTCTGAATAGTTAAATGTAGAATGTGAAATAGATACCCTTGTGATGGACTCAAACTGGGGCAGGATTCAATAGCGACATTTATAAAATCAGGGAGCTGGAGCATCACACCCTTGTACCACCAGTCCTCATGTTTATGCTACACCATCAAGGCTGGTAGAGCAGAAGCTGTAGCCTATGGTGGTGTGAGCTGCCAGGTCATGCTGCACAGCTGGCTCACGGCGTCTCAAGACTACTCTTTTTTTTTTTTTAAAGAGGTATCAGATTCATTAACATGCTTACAAATGAACCCTAGGTAGCAATAATAACCCCTCAAAGGTACAACTCTAGGAGAAATACCTATCAGAACACCAGAATGGGGAAGACTGTATTTGAATTGGTTCTTTGCAGGAAACTGACAGTTTGATCCACTGAGGGATTTATCTTCTAATAAAATGTACCATTTCTAATAGATATTAATAAAGAAATATTTTGCTTTTCCTTATGTCTGTAAATTGAGGAATTCCTTTAATAGGACTAAGAAATAGATATTGTTTAAAATCTTTTTAATTGCAAGAAGATACGTATACAGTTACTGGAGGGATACCCACTGCAAGAATTAGGAAAGTCATTTTAAATTCAGTATACAGTATCTTTATAATAGCATCATACAATAATTTAGGGGAGTAGCTGTAGAATAATTTGATATCAGTCTTCTTTCCCTCTTGTGAAGTAGATTTTCCAGTGTTATTACAATCCACAGGTCTAGACATAAAAGGTATAGTAGTCTATATCCAGAGGGAATACGTTCTAAGACCATCAGTGGATGCCTGAAATGGCAGATGGTACTGAACCCTGTATATACTATATATTTTCCTATATATTCATTCATATGATAAAGTTTAATTGATAAATCAGGCACAGTAAGAGATTAGCAAGAATAACAAATAATGAAATAGAACAATTAAGTAAAATAAGGGTTGTTTAAACACAAGCCCTGCAGTACTGAGACAGTAGATATAATAGTCAAGACAGCTGCTAAGTGACTAACAGACTAGTAGCATCTATAGCATGGGTACACTGGACAAAGGGATTATTCACGTCCCAGTGGGATCACAGCCGAATGGCACAGATTTCATCATGTTACTCAGAATGGCGTGCAATTTAAAACTTAAGAATTACTTGTTTCTGGAATTTTCCATTTGATATTTTTGGACAATTGACCACGGGTAACTGAAACCATGGAAAGCAAAACCAAAAGGTAAGGATGGACTGCTGTAGAATAAAACAAGTAACCTGTGTACACAAAGTGTTAAAATTTTGATAGTTTTAATTACTTACAAATTTGAAGAAATCTTGTTTTTACCACTAGAATGAAATTAATAAATTTTGCTATTTTGTCTATCTCTAAGATTCTTGTGTTTCTCTCAGTTTTGTAACTGAACCTCAATGAACATATTATATAAGCAGATTTGTAATTTCACTTTTGTTCTTTCTTGCTAATAAAATTAACAAAATATTTATGTACATTAAAAACTTAGTACCCTTTTTAGCACTAATAAGGTAGAATTTTAAAATATAAAAGTAAGCGATTTATATAATTGCCAAAAACTATAATCCTTAAAATTAAAAATGTTTTACCTTTTATTAAAGTGTGATCTCATGGAGAACATACTAATCTTTTTCAAAATGTTGACTTTCTAGTAGGTATTGGAAATCTACAAAGGACATCCAGCCAACGAAGTACCCTTACATACCAAAGAAATAATTATGCTCTGAACACAACAGCTACCTACGCAGAGCCCTACAGGCCTATACAATACCGAGTGCAAGAGTGCAATTATAACAGGCTTCAGCACATAGTGTCGGCTGATGATGGCACCACAAGATCCCCATCAATAGACAGCATTCAGAAGGACCCCAGGCGAGTACCAGTTAGGAGTCTCTAGAAGGCTACAGTATTGCAGGAGTTAGCCAGTTCCTCACTTTTGCCTTTTTTTAAGTTGCTAAGTCTATTATTATACTATCATTAATTCCATATCTATTAATACTTCCAGTTGTATTCCAGCTATATAGGTCATTGAGGTTAATTTCATTTTAAAGATAGATTCCTTCTTTCCATCCTTTCATAATAAGTTAGAGAATGCACAGATCCGTGGGAATATCTGCAGCATTCATCACTGAAATATTTCATCAAGACAACTACCTGGAATAGCCTCTTAGAATTAAACAAGGCTTTGAAGGATCAGTTTTCCCTTTGCCGTTGTCCTGACCGACTTCTTGGATAACAGCTTCAAAAAATGGATTTGATTATTACAAACTAGAGAAAGACCAGTGTTATATATGTTTTGAATCATAGTGGTCAACAATATATAACACTTTTATTAACCAGGTTCTTTGAAAAAACTTTCTGACATTTAGGAGAAGATAGTCTTTATAAGAAATTCTATCTAATAAGCAAAAAGTATTTGGCAAATCGTAGACGTTTCCTCCTCCTGATTTTGTTTGGCCCTGTAGATAGCATTTTTTATTAAGATAATATGAGTCGAGGCCGGGCGCGGTGGCTCAAGCCTGTAATCCCAGCACTTTGGGAGGCCGAGACGGGCGGATCACGAGGTCAGGAGATCGAGACCATCCTGGTTAACACGGTGAAACCCCGTCTCTACTAAAAAAAATACAAAAAATTAGCCGGGCGCGGTGGTGGGCGCCTGTAGTCCCAGCTACTCGGGAGGCTGAGGCAGGAGAATGGCGTGAACCCGGGAGACGGAGCTTGCAGTGAGCTGAGATCCGGCCACTGCACTCCAGCCCGGGCGACAGAGCAAGACTCTGTCTCAAAAAAAAAAAAAAAAAAAAAAAAAAAAAAGATAATATGAGTCATTTAATACTTGATTGATTTTGAAAAACTGACCTTGTCCTTAAAGCCATTTAAAATATTCAGGAAATAAAGATATTTTAAAACTAAAGGAATTTTCATTTCTGAAAGAGTGAAATTGTTGCTAAATTTTAAGCAACTTTAGTGTTATTTTAAGGCATGTATGCAAGATTTCATTCACTGTTCGCCCACAAATAGTTGCTTCACTGGAAAATTGTTATAATTATCAATTCATTTTTAGCAACCTACCAACTTGTTGTAATGAATGTGAATTAAAATGATGAGTGAGGTTTTGGTCATTAAAACACAATGACTAAAGATACTTTAAAGTTGAGTGGGAAATCCACTGCTTCACTAAAACCACTTATTCACTTTTATTCCTGAAATTCTTTAAGCTTTATAAATGCATTTGGTTCTGCTATTCCTGGTTTGCCACCTTTTTGTCATTTTTAAGGAGTTTCAAAAATAACTTGTCTAATAACACCTACAGCTTGTCAGAGATACTCTTACTGATTTTGTTTTTCCAAATCCTCAAAATGACAAAGGCCTCAGGCACCCAAATAGATGCATAAATTCCCAAAAGGGTTTTGAATTGTAGGTAATTTAGACCATCCCTTGACTGGATCTGAAGAGAAAATAATAGCTACCTAGAAAGGCAGTGAAGTGTGATGAGAGCTTTGAGTTTAATATGTGTCCCTGAAGACTTCAGTTTTGACCTCTAATATGAGTTGATTCGCTATAAACAAGGACTTCATGTATGATAATATACCTCAGCTATTCATAGTGTGATAATTTCATAGTCTAATGCATAAAACTGTTATGGCTAGCTTTGATTATGTGAAACTTTACTGATAATGCATTTTGTAAGGTGAATAAGTGATTATATTGGTAGGTGCATTTATTCTAGCTGAAACTGGAATTCAGATGATTTTGAAGTTTGAGTATTTAAACCAAAATTAAAAGCTCATGACAACTGTTAATTTTTAGTTTTGAAAATAGCAATTGGAAGTAATATTTTTATTCACTTGTAAGCCTTTATTGTTAATGCCACATTACAGTTAGCCTGAAAAATTCTCTGCAAGACTGAGGAAGTTATTGATCTTTACTGTATAAAAGGAAATCTGTGAGTTTTTTTATAGTCATCTACTTGGGAACAAAATTTATTAATAACACCAATGATGCTTCTGAAAGGAGTAACATGAAAGACTTCCTGTGTATTCACATTTCCATCTCAGCTCATTTCCCTTTGGCCTAAAGAACTTCCTTTAACCTTTCTTGTCTTGCATTTCTGCTTGTAACAAATTCTCCCAGCTTCAGTTTATCTGAAAATATTTCACTTGTTTTTTTTTAAAAGATTTTTTTTACTAGATATACAATTCAAGATTTACAAGTGTGGATTTTTTTCTTTCAGTACTTTAAAAGATGTAATTCATTGTCTTCAGACCTGCGTTGTTTCTGTTGATAAGGCAGACATCATGTGTATTCTTCTCATTATGTAATGTATCTTTTCTTTGGCTGCTTTTCAGATTTTTCTCTAGCTTTCAACTGTTTTATTCTGGTGAACCTAAGTATAATTTTCTTTGCATTTAACCTGCTTGGGGTTCACTGAGATGCTTGGAATATAGGTTGATGTTTTTGTCAAAATTGGGAAATTTTCAATGATTAATTCTTTAAGCTTTTTTCTGCCCCAAACTCTCTTCGCTTCTTCTAGGACTCCAATTAAACACATAGGATCAGTTTATTATTTCACACATTACTGAATCTGTCTTCGTTTTTTAAGTCTTTTTTCCCTATATTCTTGTAATCAGAATTTTTTATTGATGCCTTCAAATTTAGTTTTCTTTGTCCTATAGACTACAATCTATTGTGAAGCCCTTGCAAATTTGTTTTTATTTCTAATCCTTGAATTTGGTTCCTTTTATATAGTCCATGTTCCTGTGAGATTCTCCATCTCTTCACTCCATATATACATCTTTTTCTTTAAGTCTTCGAACACATTCAACATAACCATTTAAAATTTTTCTTCTGATAATTTCAACATCTGGGGTGTCTCTGGGTCTGTTTCTATTGGTTTCCTTTTTTACGTATTTATAAGTCATACGTTTCTGTTTCTTCTCATGTTTAGTCATTTTAAATTATATACTGACTGTTGTAGATGATACATTATAGGGAATCTGGATTAGGCTGTCTCCTGTTAGGATGCTGAGTTTTATTGTGGCAGAGAACTAAATTACTGGTAGATCCTTTCAATCCCATCAAAACTGGTTTTGTTCATTGTTAGGTCTAGTTCATATTTCTTTTAAACCTTAGAACATGGTCCTTACTCCTAAAACTTGGCCTTTGTGGAGTCTTGACTAAATTCCCAAGGTGTTCAGTGATGTCTGTGCTCTGACTGGTGGCGGGGGTGGTCCACATCAACTGGTACCTCTTCAGCATTGAGTCATGTAGCAGCCACTCTCCACCAGACCTGTGCATGTACCCTACAGCTCAGGGTACAACTGAGGACTTGCGGATAGTCCACACACAAACCCAGAGAATCACCTCTGCTTAGCTCCCTTGTCTTCAGTACTCTGCCTTGCACATTATAACCACTTTAGCACCTGCAAATTCCACTTGCTTCCTGCCTCAGCTCACTAAATCCCTCACATACTACTTGTCCTCAGCTTCCTGTGTCATGGTCCAGAAAGTGCCCCCTGGCAGAAAGCCAGGTAAACATGGGACTCATTGATGTTTCCCTCCTCTCAAGGATTATATTCTTGTGTTGCCTGTTGTCAAGGGTCTAAAAACAGTTTTCTCCTACATTTAGCTAAATTCACTTTTATCATTGTTTATGGTGGGAGGGCAAAATCCAGTACGAGTTACTCTATCATGGCTGGAAACAGAAGTCTGGGCTTAGGTTTTACTGAAGCAAATCCTGGCAGGCATTGATGCCATCCAGCCAGCCTACAAATTGATGGCAGTTTTTCCAGGGTAAATTTCTACTGAATTTGCATCAAGGTTGGAGATGAAGCCAAGCAAGCCTAATTGCCCAGCTTTGGCAGGAGCCCACCCTCGGGGCTGTCTGGCCCTCATGGCACCCAGGGATTTCAGGAAATCTTGACCCTCAGTGTCCCATTTAAAGAGGACAAAAACATGTATTTGTAATGATTGTGAATCATCAAAGAAAGAGTAAATCACACTTCTTGCACTCTGTTAAGTACAACAGAGATTTACATAATAGGCTTTAGATAGATTTTCATGAGAAATGATTGATACAGTTTCAATATATAAAAGGAAAATTATTTGTTACCAGGAATTCATCTATTTGGAATAGCTCATTTTTTAGGGATGATGAATATTAATAAAACATCTGTATCCAAAGTAAAAATATATAAAATATTTTAGTATTCAACATCACATTTAATCATCACAACCAACCAGTGAAGATTGAAATATTAGTTTCATTGATCTTGTTTTACATTTGAGGAAACTGAAGCTCCAAATAATGAATTGCTTTTCAAAATCACACAGAAATTGAAGGACCCAAGACTGAAACCCAGGCAATCAAACTCCATATTCTGTGCTTTTTCTGCTGTTATCTTGCCTTCTTTGGCATTGGCTATATTCTTAATGTCTGTTAATGACGTCATCATCCAGCCTGTTCCCCAAGCCGGAAACTCCATCTCACACCTGACTTCAGTTTTTAGATCATCTGGCTGCTGTATAAAGAATGGATTGGGGGTGCAGGTGGGGTGGGGGGATAATATTAGAAGCAGAGAGAACATGTAGGAAACTGTTAGACTCTTCTGGGCAAAATGGAGAAAATGAATGGATTTGGTATATGTTAAATGTTTTGTAGATAGTCAACAGAACTTGCCGATGGATTCCATGAGGTAAGATGAGGAAAAGAGAGAAATCAAAGCGAAGTCTATTTCATTTCAAGCAGCTATGTAGATTCCTGTGTGGATAGTGGGTACTCTGCATGACACCCATCTTTTTGTATTCTAGGACATTCTTTCCTTGGCCACCAGAGTTATTGTCTGTATAAATGTGACTATGTCATATCCTCTCACTCTCCTGCTTCACAACCTTCATTCCTTATGTGTAGGCACACATATAGACCACCTGGGTTTCACTAACCTCCACCACTAATTACTAATCCTGAGTTCCTTATCTGGGTCTAATGTTATTTTAATAGTGCTTACCTCATGAGGCAACAGTAAAGGTAAATGAGATAATGAAAGTAAAGTTCTTGGCGCAAAGCCTGATAAAGGTAAACTCAATAAAAGATAACTCCTCCCGTTATTGGTATTAAGACAGAACTTTTTAGTTTGGCATTAGAAGATCCTGTAAATGGAATCATATCTTATCCAGTATTTGTATCTCCAGCACTATAGCACAGTAAGGATTCACTGAGTGTGGTGTGTGTGTGTGGATGCATGTGTGCACACAGGTGTGGAATGGCAAGCCCCTTTGCAGTGGTCTGACAAGTTAATGCATGGAGCCTTCCCAGACCAAGAGAGACTCTAAGGCTTCAAAAATCAGGCAAGAGAAGTATCACTCGGTCATTAATTTTATGAATTCTTTTTTTAATAAACAACTAAGTTTATCCTGTAATCAGAGTCTGTATATTTGTTGTTCTGTGAGCCATTTTCTAACAATCTGCTCTTCACATAATAAAAGAGCAAACTTACATTTAACAAGAATTCCAAACACTGTGCCAATATCTTATTGGCATAATGTCATCTGGACATTAGAAAATCCTGAAAATGGATGTTAGCTGAAAAAAAGCAAAGTACAAAAGTACATATACATAGCATGATTATATATCATTGTCAAAAAAAATGGTATAGCATAGTGTTGGAGGGCACACACTCTGAAGGCAGAGTACCACTCCACTGTTTACAGCCACGTGGCCAGTCACATGGCCTTTCTGCCTCAACGTCCGCATCTTTAAGGTTGCGGTAAGAATAAATTAATAAATATATATAAAATGCCTGGAATAGTGCCTGACACAGGATAGGGGTTTATGAAATATTAACTGCTATTTAATAATAACCCAGTTTTACGGAAAAAATCCCAAACCCACACGTGTGCACTTTTGCACACATATATGGAAAAACAGGAAATGTCAGCAGTAATCCTGAATATAGGATGACTGGTCAAATACTTTCTCTTTTTTATAGTTTTCTGTGTTTCTGTGTTATACTCAAGAGCAACCATAAACATTGTTTCTTAAAAATCCTCAGGCCCACAATGTTTGTGATTTCTACGCTGACACCAGCTCTGTCTGTTCCCACCAGCCCTTTCTCTCCCTTCAGGCATGACATCTCACTTCACTGAAGAGCACATGTTTACCTGTGCCTTGCACCTGCAGATTTCTTACATAGGTAGAAAGACATAAAATTAGAACCAGGAGGAGGAGCACTAGAGCGGAAAGGTTACTTATATTAAGCATTTTCTTTGTTCTCCTGAATCTATCTCTTTCTGTGCATCTGTGCGTCATGATTTCTTTAAGATCGTAAGCATCTGGGCCTCTGCATATGTTCATCAGGGGGAAAAATTATTTAGGTATGTATTTTTTAGGATTTTTGTAACTTCCCATTTTTATCTCAGCAGAGCTTTTTTCCCTTATAACAAGTGTTTTTGTTCAGTGTATTTTTACAACATGGGCCTTCCTTTCTGAAGCCATGTTTTTCTCATGTAGGGAGTTTGCCTGGCGTGATCCTGAGTTGCCTGAGGTCATTCACATGCTTCAGCACCAGTTCCCATCTGTTCAAGCAAATGCAGCGGCCTACCTGCAGCACCTGTGCTTTGGCGACAACAAAGTGAAGATGGAGGTACAGGACACGGTGCCTGGGATGACTGGGGAAAACAGTGCCTTTGCATTTAACAGCCACATGCTTCTGTATTTACGAAATTACCTGATGTAATTCAAGAGTCTTTTTAAAGGGATATTTTGATACCAGATACTCTTTGACTTAACTATGCATTTCAGTATCTCTCAGGAAAAACTAGGATAAATATATTTCTTGGAGTGCTTTCAGCATTTTCAAATCATATGTCTACTTCATTAGCTTATTTATAAAACCATGAAGCAAAAATCAATTTAACTTGCATTTAAACAATATTTTTTAGGCCAGGCACAGTGACTCATGCCTGTAATCCCAGCACTTTGGGAGACAGAGGCTGGCAGATCACCTGAGGTCAGGAATTCAAGACCAGCCTGGCCAACATGGCAAAACCCCATCTCTACTAAAAATACAAAAATTAGCTGGACATGGTGGCGCATGGCCTGTAATCCCAGCTGCTCAGAAAGCTGAGGCGGGAGAATCACTTGAACCTGGGAGACAGAGGTTGCGGTGAGCCGAGATTGAGCCACTGCACTCCAGCCTGGGAGCGAGACTCCATATCAAAAAAAAAAAAAAAAATACTAGGTAAAAATTATAGTATTCATTGAATTAGTGAGTTCATGTATTTTATGGAATTCTAGTCAGGTTGGTGCCAACTATAAATAAGTTATAGAGGATTATAACCATCACTAATGCCAAACATACGTGAATATTTTATTTCAGGGTTTTTTAGGTATTTATGGAAACATAGCAAGTTATTGGTTATTGGCTATAATTCTATATAACATACAGATTCTTTAATGTTTCAAACCTTCTTCTGACCCACAGTGTTATATAAAACTGAAGTGGTTTTCATCATTTTAATATGCAAAATAGCATACAGCTCCAGACCTAAATGTGAATGTAGTAAATAAAGCCCAGAAATACTCAAGTAATGTACTAATGCATTGACAAATAGAAGAAAATTTAAGGAGAGTAGCCTCGAGAACTCATTCTAGAAACCAAATAACTTAAGTCAAAAATTATTTCCTATATTGTCTCAAGCCCTGCATATAGCTTTGCTATGTTTGTATATTTGCACATTGCCCTGCTGGAGTGAAAGCCTAATTCTTGATGTGTGTTCTGAGGGTTGGAGGAGGACTGTGCCGCCTGCCAATGGATATCAAACCACCTAGATCTCCTATCTCTTTTTTAAGCCATGAACCCAGGAAAAGTATCATGTAAGAGAGTGTCCTTAGAATTTTTTTTTTTTTTTTTTTTTGAGACAGAGTCTTGCTCTGTTGCCTAGACTGGAGTGCAGTGGCACAATCTTGGCTCACTGCAACCTCCACCTCCCAGATTCAAGTGATTCTTGTGCCTCAGCCTTCCAAGTAGCTGGGATTACAGGTGTGCGCCTCGACACCCAGCTAAGTTTTTTGTATTTTTAGTAGAGACAGGATTTCATCATGTTGGCCAGGCTGGTCTTGAACTCCTGATCTCAAGTGATCCGCCTGCCTTGGCCTCCCAATGTGCTGGGATTACAGGCATGAGCCACCGCGCCTGGCCTCTCCTTAGAATTTATAAAAGTTGTCTTATTTGGAATAAAAAGTAACCTTTGAAATGGTCTGGAGATATCCACATCCTGTGATCTCTCCATAACAGACTTCTGTTTGATCACTGATTAATTGCATGTTACTTAGGCCTGATACCTAGTATTTTTCATTCTAGGTTTGTAGGTTAGGGGGAATCAAGCATCTGGTTGACCTTTTGGACCACAGAGTTTTAGAAGTTCAGAAGAATGCTTGTGGTGCCCTTCGAAACCTCGTTTTTGGCAAGTCTACAGATGAAAATAAAATAGCAATGAAGAATGTTGGTGGGATACCTGCCTTGTTGCGTCTGTTGAGAAAATCTATTGATGCAGAAGTAAGGGAGCTTGTTACAGGTAGGTATAGAATGTGATCTTGTCCTAGAGGAAATGTTGAAAACAGACTGGACTGTGCCCTTGTATAGTGGCACTGTGAAGGAGTTGGAGGTTCCAGATAGTAGATAATAAGATATATTATTTATTATATATATAATATATATTAACATATAATATATATTAAATATAATAAATAAATTATATTATATTGTTTAGTCTGATGAGTCAGAAACCGTTTACAATGTGGTCATTTCTATTAGTATCAGTTACTGCACTTAATGATTTGTAAATATCAGCTAACAGATGTCTTTTTCATGGAGGACTAAATACCACATGTTTTATTATGTATTTCATAGTAAATCTAGTTGTTTTAAATAGGCAGACTCTCCTTTATTATGAGAATAAAATATACTTAATGGATTGGCTGTCTTTCACGTTAGCTCAGCTGGTGTCTGAGTGCCTGTTTGTATTCCCACGTACTTTACTAGGCCCCAGGGATAGAAAGAGGAATAAAACCCAGTGCCTGCGCTTAAGTCACCCTCAGACTGGTGAGGAACACAGGTGATTTTGTGAGTGTCAGGGAAATGTGGCAAGTCTCACTCAACAGAGGTTGCATTGGGCACAGAGGATGGGTAGCGAAGTTCCCTGGGTGACATGAAACTAAAGTTGGCCTAAAGGATGAAGAAGCACTGGCTGGATAGGCAGAGGTCTTTCCAGTTACAAGCTCAGAAACAGCATGGGATATAGTTCTGGAGCTACCAACAAGAGGGGGCTGCTGTGTTAAAACTTAGTGAAGAGCCAAGTGTGGTAGCTCACACCTGTAATCCCAACACTTGGGGAGACCGAGGCAAGAAGATCACTTGAGGCCAGGAGTCCAAGACCAACCTGGGCAACACAGGGAGACCCCATCTCTACAAAAAATAAAAATAAGTAGCTGGATGTGGTGGCACGTGCCTGTGGTCCCTGGTACTTGGGAGTCTGAAGTAGGAGGATCACTTAAGCCCAGGAGGTTGAGGCTGCAGTGAGCCATGATCACACCACTGCACTCCAGCCTGGATGACAAGTGAGGCCCTGATTCAAAAAAACAAAAATCAAGGAAAACAAGGCCAGAGAGAGATACAGTCTTCATTTAGGGAACTTTTTTTTTTTTGAGACGGAGTCTTGCTCTGTCACCCAGGCTGGAATGCAATGGCGTGATCTCAGCTCACTGCAACCTCTGCCTCCCAGGTTCAAGCAATTCTCTTGCCTCAGCCTCCTGAGTAACCAGGATTATATACATGCACCACCACACCCAGCTAATTTTTGTATTTTTAATAGAGATGGAGTCTCACCATGTTGGCCAGACTGGTCTCCAACTCCTGACCTCAGATGATCCGCCCACCTCAGCCTCCCAAAGTGCTGAGATTACAGGCATGAGCCACTGCACCCGGCCCATTTAGGGAATTTTTATAAGGAACTTAGTTGTGTCCCACATGCAGTGAGGACACTGGGGTATGGCATGGCTAGTTTAAGCCTTTAAATGCCTTCCAGCAGGCAGCAGGATAGAGGATTGATAGGAAGTGGGAGAGTCTGGGAGGCCTGTGAACAGACCAACAGTCCAATGATAACAGCTTGAACTATTTCATTGATGAAAAGAAAGAGTAGGGTGGAGCAGTCAGAAATATTTCATGGTCTGGGCATGATGGTCAGATGTGGGGAGTGAGAGAGAGGGAGGAGTAAGTAACGCCTGGATGTTGCAGTGTTAGTGGCTAGATTCAAGGATACTTGAGATTGAGCTGGAAGAATGGTTCTGCAGGAGAATACATTGATGGCAGCATTGTTTGTAATAGATAATTCAGGGAAAATACTAAGAATTCATTGGCAAAAGGATGGTTACATCAGTGGCAGTACTCTCACACAACAAAACCATATACAGCAGTTAAAATAAGCACATTAGACTGTACATAACAACATAGATGCATACAGCTTTAGAAATACTTGCAGAATGATAACTACAGAGCAATACAATTTGAATAAAGTTTTTAAATATGTAGATTGATGTAGATATATGCACATGCAATAAAGTTAAAATTTCTAATTGGAATAATAAAAATAGATTCAGGATAGGGGTTACCTCTGTGAAGAGGAAGGAGGAAAATGGGACTGCGGGTTGTATTCCAGCTCTGTTTCTTTAGAGGACTCTGAAATACATAAGACAAAATGTTAATATTTGATAAAGCTAGCATACCTGGGTGTTTGTTTTATATTTTCTTTGCCTTTTTTCATGCTTGAGATATTTAATTTACAATTTTAAAACAACGTTTCTTCAAAATTAATTTCATTCCCCCCAGGTTTCCAGTATGAAATCAGAGTTGTAGTTTCTGTAACACTTGGGAATGAATAAACCATCCTGCATCCAATATTTAAGGGGAATCAACTTTCTCATAAGATATTAATGTTCAAAATACAACATTAATATTCCCTTGTACTCAAAGTACCAAAAGTAGAATATACTTTACAAATAATCATAAGTCTGGAATGGACTATCTGCCTTAATGTATTTTGAATATTCTTTAGTGCTTCTAAATTAATACTCCCACTTTCTGAAATGCTTTTGAGGCATCTCACCAAAAAACAAATTATTTTTGCTAACATGTACATGTAGCTATAAAATGAAAATTAGAGCAAGCTAAACAGAATTTTTAAAAAATTGAAATGTAGCTATGTTCATCCTAGAAGTCAACACAGTCACCGTGATTACGCCCACAAATTTACCCTGAGCCGCCTGTTAGGGAGGCATAGAGGAGACAGAATCATCTGTAGTACATGAGTGCTTTCCTGCTATGTCTGATGTCTCTCTTTCCATCACTTTGAACTTCCTGTGTCTTGTCCAGTTGTCTTCCCATAGTAACACCATGCAGCCAGGAGGGCTGCAGACAATTGTGTGCGCTGCTCCCTGAGACAGCAGTGGCTATCCAGGGACAAATGACATGGAAAACACAGCTTCTCCTCAAATTTAACTAGCCAGATTCATCATGACTTGATCCTTACATCCTTAATGTGAAGCTTTTTCCTGCTCTTCTGTCCTCTCATAGGAGGAATGAGTCTTTTCTGAATTTCTGTTTGAGGTTTTTCCTTGGGAGCGACTATTACAGTGCCTTTCCTGAGCTGAGCTCAAGGAATTTGTAAGGTTTAGTGTTAAACAGGAAGAAAAGTACATGATTGTGTGCTCTTTTTTTCTTTACATTTAAAAATAAGTCAAATTTACTTTAAGTAGAGCCCGACTTTACTACCAAGGACTTTTATGTGCCAGGTTACCTGGAGCACACTCTGGAATTGAGTGCTAATGTAGATGCTTTCCTCCTTATTTTATTGAGAACATGAGATCTTTTAAGACGTGGACCTTGGCCTTGAAGAGAGGATATAAGTGTTTTCTAATTCAAAAAGAGCTATTTTCCTAATAGATCATATCATTTCTAATGTAAAACTAAGAAGTACCTCTGATATTTCTCTTGAAAATATCTGCCAGTAGCTTTTAGGCTATAAGAAACAATTTTTTTGCCATACTTACAGAGTAGGAGACATTAAGAATTGCTTTATAACTATATACTTTTACCACTAATCATTTATTTTGACATGTGGTCTGATTATCAAATGTTTTCTTCAAAACATTGAAATGAGAGTGGTCAGTGGGCAAACACTTCACGCAGTTGCCATAAGTAAAGTAGGTTGGACCAGAAGACTTCAGAAATGAGTTTCCAGTTCAAAAAGCCAAATGGCAGCTGTGTTTGATTTATACCTATACATTGTCTAACTAATATGAAACAAGTCACAATATAAATCTAGCATCGTTGCTTTTTTTGTGTGTGTACATGTATTTATAGTCTAAGCTTTATAGAGACAGCAAAATTGCTCACATTTCCCAGTCCTACAATTTAGTGGTACTAACCTTAACTGATGTTCAGTAATATTTTAAGGGTGATTGATCCTTGATACATTTTAAACCATGGAAACATCAAGAGATCCTTGAACTCTTCTTTCTTCTTTCATTAACTCTTCCTCACATCAAATGCTCAAGCCGTCTTTAATTATAGAATCACAGGATTGGGGGAGACCTCAGAACTCATTTTGTTCAGTAATCTATCCAGTGCTTGAATCTCCTGTACAGTTTCCATACAGAGTAGTCGCAGTCACGTGCATGAACCCACAGGACAAGAAGCTCATTACCTGGTGGGGTTAAGGCTGGACAAAGTTATCCAGAAAGCAGCAAGAAGACATCTGATATAACTTGAAAAGGCAAAAAATACAAATGCTTAGGAGGTCATTTTTGCATAGGAATGGCCCTACAAAAAGACCAGTTCCACCCTAGATCCAGCCACCAGCACTCCTAACCAAGGAAGTAAGCCCCCAATCTGAACTGTCACTAAAGCATGTCTGCTCCGAACTCAGGCTGCAAGGTGCTATGTGACCATGTCACCCAGCATTCCCCATCAGGTGCCCATTTCCTATAAAGTCCCCTTTGAAAACAGAACATTAGCCTTAGATTTTAGTGTTCTGCTAGTATCATTCACAAATACCATGGCCAGCCTTGCACGGTGCTTGGCCTTTGTGGGTAGGGTGTATGCGTTCCTAAGTGAAAATTATAGTCAACTTAGGATCATGAAATGTTAAAATACAGTGAACCATTGTGTTCCAAATATTACATAATTTGAAGAAACTGCTATCCCCTTGAAACTAGAAATTCTTTTATTCTTAATATTAAGTAATTCAACCCAGTTATTAATCCAGTCTTTTTTTTCTGGTTCCCTTTGTTTCAGTTTGGCAGTTTTTACTGTACTTAAGTGGAGAAATTTTAGCTGTTTTTTATAAAGATACCTTGCCTTTGCTTTAAACACAATAACTGCCCAGGGCCTATATTTTTGGCCACATCTTTATTTTTAGAGGGGAAAAAGGACTTTTCTTCAAATGTATTTTCCCAAGACAGTATGGCTGTCATTGTTAATTAAAATGGTTCTCTAATATGTAACATAATTCTTGTGTTT